AAGTGGGAAAAATGGGAAAAAATGGGGAAAACGTGGGAATAAAGCAGAAAAAAGTGGGAAAAAAGGGGGAAAAAAGCAAAAAAAAGTGGGAAAAAAATGGGAAAAAAGCAGAAAAAAGCGGGAATAAAGCAAAAAAAAGTGGGAATAAAGCAGGGGAAAAGCGGGAAGAGAGCGGGAATGAGGGTGGAATTCCCGGAATTCCGGGATTACCGCGGATCCCTGGGATTCCTGCAGGATTTTCAGCTGGAGTTGGCTGAGGCGGCGCCGGGCTCCCTCCAGCTGCTCCTCCACGGCCGCGCCCGGATTCCGCAGCCGCAGCTCCTGGAAATGCTGGGACAGAATTCCCGGAATTCCCGCTGCCCCTCATCCCAGAAAATCCCCGGATATCCCAGGAAAATCCAGCCCCGGGCGGGCAGGGATTCGGGAATGCGCTTTTTTGGGGTTTTCTGGGGATTTTGGGGGGTTTTGGGGGATTTTTTGGGGGTTTTCTGGGAATTTTGGGGATTTTTTTGGGATTTTCTGGGAATTTCCTGGGGTTTTCTGGGATTTTCTGGGATTTTCTGGGAATTTTTGGGGTTTTCTGGGAATTTTTGGGATTTTTTGGGGGTTTTCTGGGAATTCTGGGGATTTTTTTTGGATTTTCTGGGAATTTCCTGGGGTTTTCTGGGGATTTTTGGGATTTTTTGGGGGGTTTTCTGGGAATTTCCTGGGATTTTCTGGGATTTTCTGGGAATTTTTGGGATTTTTTTGGGATTTTCTGGGAATTTTCTGGGGTTTTTTGGGGGTTTTCTGGGAATTTTCTGGGGTTTTCCAGGAATTTTCTGGGAATTTTTTGGGAATTTTCTGGGAATTTTTCTGGGATTTTCACGGGGTTTTCCCAGGGATTTTTCTGGGATTTTTTTCCTGGGAAAGAAGAATTCCCGACAATTCCAACCCCCAAAAATCCCGGAAAATCCCAGCCTGGCACCACCAGGAATTCCGGGAAGTTTTTTTGGGGGGGGGGCGGTTTTTGGGAATTT